AAAGAGGTCTTAAGCGGGGCAAACCCGCCTGGAGGGGGGGCAGCAGAAGCACAAGCCTTCCTGCTGGCCATGACCATGCTGTTATTGGAGTTCTGGCAATGAACAGTGCAGAGAAAGGAGAAAGTGCATCAGAACATTTACAGTTCAGCTCTCATTTTTCAACAAAAAGTTAACAATGTTCGTGCTTGGAGTCACTCATGCATTGCTGCTGTCAACTCCATTCCAGAAGGAACCAGGAATGGCAGGAGCTTTGCTACCACTTGGACATGCACACACATACAATACTCCTTTCCCCCCCAGTCCTCTAGGATACGCTCCAAAAAATTACATTACTCAAAACCCCTTTCCCCGATTGAAGCATTGTGCTGGTTCCACACTACCCTTACGTTTCAGCTTCTTTGCTAGAAATCACTTTTTTGGTTTGGGTTTTTTTGTTTTTGTTTTGTTTTTTCTTCCCCCAATTCATTTAAAATCGTTTTTGGAGAAAATCCATTTGGCTGTAGTTCATGCCCATGCATTTCTAGTCATTCACAGACATGCTCACTCCCACCAGACATCAGTAAGAACAAATGGCCAACATACAGAAACACCTGGTGTACTCCATACACACTCCAGCAACACAAGCTTGGAAAGAAATCCCAGAGTCTTCAGGGGAAAAGCACCCCGAGGGCAAGGCCGGGGCAGTTCCACAAAAACCAGCTGGGTTTTAAGGCAGGAAAGTTTGTGGCAGCTCATTTGGGATTGCTTGTCATCTCAGCTGTCAGGCTCCTGGCAGCAGCAGTCCTTACCCTGCAGATTAATGACCGCAAGGATTAACGATCTGCCCTCATCTGACTTTCACCAGCGTCACTGTAGTGCTGGATGAGAGTGCTCAGGGACTGCTCTGCCTTGCTGTGACTTTCCTTGCGGCAGCTACAAAATGACCGACGTTGAATGCTGATGTTAAATGTAGGCAGGGAGATGGGCAGTGCATGCCTGAGGGCTTCCAGTCCTACTTCAAATGGGAAAATGCAGCCAAGGGACTGCAAGTTATTTAGGACAAGAACTGTATTTGCCCCTCCTCTTGATACAGGCAATCACTGCTTAGAATTTACTCAGTCCTCCCTCCACACCATTGCCCAAGATACACCTTGGTGGGAGCTGACAGGACAAAGAGCTTGCTCTGTATTGCAGGTTTCTGTCAACAAAAGAAACAGGTAATTTATCTGAGTGAAATGAAACTAAAATAGCAAACTCAAATATGGATTAGTCTTGATTAAAACTGTCTGAGGTTTTGGTTTTGTAGCTGAAAAGCAAGCTTGTGCCAAAGCCCAGGATGCTCAGCTCCCAGTCTGAAGTGCCTATTTCGGCTCACTTGAACCACGCAGGAAGCTGGGGAAGCTGTCAAGCTGTTAGCTAGACCGCCTTGAGCAGACGAGAAGGGTTACTTTGCTAGACTGCTATGCTGATAGGAACGTGCTGCTATTCATTTCCCAAATCTCCTCCTGCAGTGTAATAATGCCAACTTATGCCAATAATTCCAAGGCAAGTGCTCCTCCGTGGAGCCTCCACAGGACACCGAGCGCTGCCCTGCGCCAGTGGAACTGCAAGACCAGCTCTCTTATAAACTCAAAATGAAAAGAGTCAAATTTCACGCACCTCCTAAAAACTGAATTTGCATTCCTATTTTCAAAAGAGGGATTTTTTTTTTGTGTGTGTGTGTGTGTGTGGAGCCATTTCCCCAGTGACGGAGAAGAGCAAAGCATCACTCGCTGCCTCCCCGGGGCTTGGGGCTTTGGCGCTTGCTTGGCATCACACCAGCCAGCTGCAAAGCTCACAGCAGAAATGACAAGAGCAGTCAGACTTTCCAGCCTTAAAACCCATGTGATATTTATGAGATCAGTCCACCTGAAACATGATTTTCCCTTGAAGACTACGTTTCCCTTTTTCGCGTCCCCTTCCCAGGCTTGTCTTGCCACTCAGCAGCGCTGAGGAATAAGATAAACAGGAATGTGATACCAACCGTGAACTGCCGGTTCTGTCGTCGCCGTTGTGTCTACACACGGGAACAGAGGATTGGAGGAAGGGAAGAAACAGGAGGAACAGCATGCAAAAAAAGGGAAAATGGAAAAAATGGAACAGATAATATATGAGCAAGCTTTCAAAGAACATTGCGTGACAAGCAATAATAAAATGAAAGGCAAAAAGCATCTGAAGTGAGTTGCACTGTTTAGAAGACATGCCTCCAGTTCAAAAGCTATGAACCTGAGGAAAACAGTAAATTTTTCTCTTTTTCAGGACCTTGCCAGGACAATTACTGGTGGTTGCAAAGTCAGGGGAACAGGAGACAGAGGAGAACACCAACACTTTCGTCAGCAAGGACCAAAACAGAAGCTCAAGGTCAGGACAAAGAGTCAACACTTCTTAAACAGCTTTTACACATTCAAACATTGCCTTGATCGAAGCACCAGCAACCAGGCCCTAACCTGCTCCCACCTCTCCTCCTCCTTCATCCAAGGCAGGCAATCTCAAGAGTAAAAACCACTGCTCTAAAGGGGGCAAAGGCAGGGAGAAATGTCCAGAAATTAGCTCTATCACAACAACAAACCGTTAACAGTTATTGCTAACCAAAGGGGAGTTATTCTGTGATTAGCCTGAAGTTGGCTGTACTCCACATGTATCACCTGCCATGGGAAATGTCTCAGGGGGTTGCTGTGCCAAGGGAGGGATGCTGCAGCTTTTCACAGCTGCTGGGAAAGGGCAATTTACAGCCTGACCTGCAGCTGAGGACTCTCTCTAACAGCATCCTACGGTATTTCCTCTCCACCAATACGTCTAAATCTTATTTATTGCCATTATTCAAAGTACTGGTTTGTTTAGCTATCGAAGACCATTTACTTTTAACCAGGCTCTAGGTACTCTGTGCTGTTGGTTGCTCCTCAGGACACAACCCCAGCTCTGCAAAGCCCTGCTGAGCCCCCCAGGCCGGCCAGGCCCTGCACAGCACCACTCGCTTCGATGCAGGCAACATTTCAATGGGTAAAAGCACAAGAGCACACGTAGAGAAGTGCTCCACTGCCTCTGTCTGCAGAGCAGCCCTGAGCTTGTGTTTTGCAGCAACGACACACAGTTCCCATTGGTGTTTGCCCTCGTGAAGGTGCCGTCAAGAGAAGCCAGGGATGAGCAGTCCTCTGGCACGCTCAGAGGCAGCAATGGGAAAAGGAAGACCTGTTCCTGTGCAATTTAGCTGAGGACTGCCCAGGTCTGAATTTCTGAAGCACCAGTGGAGATAAGGATCATACAAGGAATACACAATACTTACAGATACGAGGTCTACATGCTTTAATTATGAAAGCAAAACAAGTAAACCCTGCACAATTTCAAAAACTGAACCAAGATTTGCATAACATTATCAAGCCATCAGGAGCCTGTTTCCACTGCCAACATGTCCTGTTCTCATCTTGGCAATCGAATCTAAGGCACGCTTCAAGATGCCAGCACTTGTTCTCCTGCTGGGAGCTCTGGTGGAGGCTGCAGGGGAAGCCTTCCCAGGTGGAGCGGAGAACAAGCAGGGGGCTTCTCTTTGCTTTTGGGGAGCAATCCCCGAACGATGCCTTGTTTGAACCAAGCAAATGGTGAAGGGGGAAATGGTGGTGAAGGTGGGGGGGAAGCTGTTGTTTAGAAAGGGTTGTAAAACTGAGTATTAACTCCTGAAATAACATTTTAGCATCTATAAATAGTCTCAATTTACTGTCTTCCTGAAATAAAAAAAGTTACATCAGCTTTTACACTAAATAGAGAATCTGCTGAAAGCAAACTTCATGTGCTGGAAGAGATATTAGTCAAGGAACAATGCAAACTGGACAGTGCATCTCGCTTCCCCATCTGGGGACAGAGACCAACAGGTTACAAAAAATAAAGTTCTCAAGCGGTTGTAAGTGCGAACAAATATCCAAGTCAAACAACATGTTGGCTGCAGCTGGAATGACAAAGTTATGATTAGCAAATGGTTTGGATGGTTGCAATAGGAAACACAGAGCAGTTAAAGTTTAGAATGAGTTTTCTGGCAGTCCATTTCAATCCCAGAGTCGTCTTTGAGAGGAAGGAGTGCACACATACAGTGCTCCAGAGAGGAATTATCTCACGTTAAAGCCAAGCAAGGAGTGCCCCTGGACACAGGAGGCTGCCACCCGGGTTGTGCACAGAGGAGAGAAACAATGTCACTGTTGCTTTGGTATAAAATGAACAAAGGTGGAAAACTGTGCATGTACCAAGCTCCGGCACTGCTCTGCCTTGCACATCCCCAGCTGCTGCTGAGGCAGCTCATAATTTTAAGGCAGATTAGCTAACTTCAAATATGCTTTCCTGAATTCCAGGCATGAGCCACTGACTTCTATTTCCCTTCCCAGAGCAGCCATGTCTATTTGCCAGAGCAGTGACATCTTAACCCCAGGGATCAGGCTGCTGTCCCATGTCCCAGAAGAAAAATAATTTTTTCTCCTTAAATATGGACCAAAAAAAAAGTCCTTGTAAAAGCACCGTTCTGGTCCTGAGCTGCAGGTGTGAGCAGCAGTCACACAATCTCATGAAGGTGATATTTATAATTTAAAATGAGAAGTTGGTTCTGGAAAATGGTCTGGTTTACAAGATGTGGCAAAGCAGAGAGGACACAGCATGTAAAGAGGCTCAAGATGGTACCTTCCATCTTAAGATAAAGGATTCTCCTCCTGATTTCAACCAGTAAGACAACAAAAAAATTGCTGTATGGGGAGAAGTTAAACAGTGCAGCTGTCTCTAAAAATCTACGTGTACATAAACTCCCCAGCAGACTGGTTTATAACTACAGAAAGTATCCAGGAAAGGAGCCATTGGCCTCTATAAAGCCACACATTTCACCTAATCATGATTTCTTCCTAGCACTGGTCATAAGAACTGAGTTCGGCCTGACCAGCTCTCAAATGAAGTCACTAACACACACCATCTTGCCATACAGATGGTATGACCTGCCAGCCAAGGAAACTCAAACAACACCGAAGTTTTAGGCCCTCACCACTTCATTAGGTAGGTACACAAGCATGCACACACACGAGCAGAGACACAGATTTAGAAAATTACTGCATGGAGGCATCTGGGCAACATTTAGTTGAATTACATGCTCCGTCATGATGCCTCCTCAGTTCTTCAAATGGATTCTCTCCAACTTCAAATTGTTTGTGGCATGTGACAGACTGGGCCCTTTAAACTTGCCTGTAATTAGTCCACAGACTCCAACAGAACAAGAACGATGTGGGAATATTAAAGCCCCAGCAGCAACACTGAATTCACCCACTCGAAGGCTCAAGCTGCAGTGCTGCAGCCGCACAGAGGCACACGATGCGCTGCAGCTTAAAAACATACCCCTGCTGTAAAGAGAACTGCAACAGCACATCATGAATGTAACAGCACAATACACCTTTAAATAATAAAGAGGTATCAATAAGTCTAGATATCTATTCAATATATTGCTTTTAAAAATGCTTTCTGAACTGAGAACACAAGCCAATCTGGACTGCGAATTGTGGGGCTCCTGTTCTTCCCGATTTTCTGGACTACTTCACATCTCCTGACCAGGACAAACCTGAATTCCCTCATGCTGGTGTTTCCCAGAACACAGTGTTGCAAACAGCATCTCTGCTTCAGCTCAGGTCCTTTGGGCTGGTAAAGAGCCCCCCACAAACCTCCTGGCAGGCCCCACTGACCTGCTGGTCATCAGCAGAGGTGACATTCCAGGGATGCCTCAGGAGCACTGTCCTAGGGGCACAGGGCCTTGGAGAAGCCCTAGGGCAGAGAGCGTGATGATCCCTCCCTGGCTCCCTGCTCTATGGGGACAGTGAACCTGGTGGGACCTTGATCTGCACTGAGCACACACTCTGTGTGGAAGTTGTGTGTGACAAGAACAAGAATACACCAAAACTGGCGCTGCGGCTCTGGCTACGCCTTTTCATGTTTCTCCATAAAGTCCTGCCACGATTTTGGTGTTATTTCAGTCCCAATCTGCCCAGCAAAACGATGGTTTCTGCACCACTCAGGCTGCATCACCTCCAGTAAGGGCAGATGTGACAGTGCTGTGTCTGCTACTGACTGGACGTCGTACTAAAAGACTGACTTTTATTTTACTTTATTTTCTGTAACAGGCCTGTCAGCTACTCTCTCTTCCTTTATTCCCTTTAATGTGGTCACATTCTGGATGAAAATGTCAGAGGAGTGCAGTATCACCTTTAAATTAACTTGACATTTTCCCAGGGACATGCAGAAGCTTCAACAGAAAGCAAAAGTTAAATAATAAATACTTTGGGGGAACAAATGCCTGAGCTGAGGCCCTGCCTGGTGGCATTGAGCTGGCAGCAAAGCAGAAGCACCCACCAGTGCCTTTGGCATCTCCAAAAGGCTGCCTGGAAAAGTGGGCAGGGAACGGAATAAAGGAGCCGTGGCAGCCTGGTCAGAAAGGGCCACCCCCCTCTGTGGGATCCTACTGGGGAACAAGCAAATTCCCTCATTACAATTCAGTTCCCAGCAGGACAGCACGGGGCCACACAGGTGACAAGGGGAGCTCAGCTGCTACATGACCCTGCTCGGGATGTGATATTCAGCCTCAGCACCAATTAACAGCTCCTGCGTCTGAACACCTTCAGGTCAGGCAGAGCTGGTGTGCTCCTCCTGATACAAACCCCAGCCTCAGGAAGGAGCAGGGAGTGTTTCCACAGCATAAGTTTGGAGTTTCCAACTGAATTCACCAGGGAGTCTCAAGCATCCCTGGGAATTTGTAACCTACAGCAGCTGCCGGCAGCCCCCTGGACACACACCCACCTGCTGCCCTGCACCCTAAGGCATCCGTGGGGTTTCAAACATGGGCTTAAATGGGATTAATGACACACCATGGGGGAAACTGCCACCTTGGATGCACTAACACTGCTGCAAGATGGGCAGCAGGGGCTCTGCAGAACCAGGAGCTTCCAATGCAAGGCCTGAAATGCTGGTAACATGCATGTCGCCCTCCAGGCCTCCAGTGAAGCCGTTGCCAAGACACCTGCGAGATCCATCTGCAGAGAAAGTGTGATAAATGCAAATTTGCATGTACAAATACTACCCTGGATCCCGAGGTGCGGAGGTGTATGTGCTAAGCAAGACCAGAAGGCAGAAAAACGATGCTTGAAGAGGGAGGCTGCAGGGCTCAGCTCCGCGCGGAGCCTGAAGATGAGAGCTTTGCTATTATGAAGAACCTTTATCTCCCAGGAAACAACGGCTGTCCAGAACCAGTATTTCAAGGAACAACTCTAGGGGCAATTCAAATTACGCAGTTTGCTTGGCTGTATCGTATTGTACATCTTAATGAACAAAGCCACAAGGACAATTTGAACCGATAAAAAAGGGCTTGCTGGCGATAACAGCTGAAGTGCCAAGGGACGGTTGGAATATCAATGTGGTTGGAGGATACACAAAAAAGATCAAACTGTCATGCAGGAAATCTTTTCAAACACCTACATTGAAGCAAAGCAACAGTGACAGAGGAGAAGCTTTAAAGGTCATGATGTTTTGGAAACTTGACCACTGCTCAGCTTTCCCTCCTCCTGGAGCAGAGCAGCAGGTCAGATGTTCAGAGATCTCCCCAGAACCCTCCTGCCCTCAGAGCTCTTCCTCGGCTCAGCGAGGAAGGTCAAGCCTATAGCAGCAGCAAGACAGGACTTGGATGTGGAAGCAAGAGGGGTGATACAGGAACCCTGTGCTCTTGACAGGGGCCTGGATGAGCTTGAGAAAGGACTGGGAGGATGTGGGGAGGAACAGCCATGCTCCATCTCAGGCCTGCACGTCCCTCTGCTGTCCTCTCCCAATGCTCGGGCTCGTGCCTGCCCAGCAGTCTGCTATCACCTGAAGAGAAACTCTTTGGGACAGGGCTGCATTCCCATGTCATGTCAGGAGACCTTTAGAGCAGAAATACTGCACATAAGCAAGGAAGAAAGATGTCTATCATCGAACCTGACCAACAGGAGGAACTCACCCTGCCTGGAGTAGCAAATGCAGCCCCTTGGGACTGTTCTGTTGGAGCGTTTTAGTGGGGGGAAAAAAGGTCAGAAGACAGTATTTCCAATAAGCCAAAAGGACTGCTTACAAGAATATAATTCCCCACAGGCAGCTGCTAGAGATGACAGCATTTCTACAAAGTCGAACAGAGAAATTGTTTCAGTCCAGGGGTCTCTTCCCTTTTTTTCTTCTAAATTAAAACAAGATGATTTTTCAGAACTACACTGTGGTTTCAGGGGACATGAATGAGGCCAGTATCATACAAGAAATAGGGGGAAAAAGACAAAATAAGACAAATGTCAAGTCCCCCATCCCAAGGAAGGGTTTTCAAGCCAGCTGGAGGGCAGAGGGCTCACACCCAGCCTGCAGCCAAGACAAGACACACCCCGAGTGCTGCCAAGGCACTTCTGTCACATCAGGAGAGTGTTTCAGCCTCTTAGTGATGATGGGAATTAAGGTATTGATTGTCTCTTGAGGCTTTAAAAAGTGTTCCAACAATACTATGTTATATAATTCTACAGATTATGTTAATTTGACCTAATTTTTTCCAGCAACAAAGTCTCTTAACTATTGAAGAGCGGAAGTTCCTGCAGCTTCGCACTGCTTGGCTGCGGGCTGCAAAACACACACGTGCATGTCTCTGCATGAAGCAGAGCTGCTCTGTGTGGGAAAAGCACACTGACCTTGGGGGAAAAGATGTGAAGACACATCAAAAAGATTCAGCGTTAGATCAGTGTCAGAGAGGAGTGTAAAGGTTTATCTTATCAGCATTAACTAACCTGCCTACATATCGTGAGCAGTAACTGCTGGAAGCAGTGAACAATAGTACATTTTCATTAGCAACACACAATTCTACTTGTAAAGGGAATAAAGAGCTGCCAGTCAAGGCATCTTTGTGCACATCTCCTCATTTTTCACTGCAGCCAGACCTGCCCACAGAGCAACACCCTCACCAAGGGCAATGCTGATCCTCAGAGGTATGGCTGGCTCAGGTGGAAAGTTACAGAGGAGAAATGGCTGGGAAAAGGTCACATCAGAAGGTCCTCCACTCTGTCTCCCTTTTTAATATGAAAAAGCTAGAAAACCACACAGCAGAGAAGTAAACAACAAACCCACCATTATGAACAACCCCAGCTTGGGATCCTGAGATGGCAGGTGAGGACAGCACATGCTTGGGAAGCCCATCCCAGGGCAATCCCCAGAATGCCAGGCTGATGACAATCCGCCTCTCAGGAAAATGACAGCAGTTAATGTCTGCAGGCACTGACTGAAACATGAGGTCAATCAAACATCAAGCCAAAGTTTTCCTTTTAACCTTTCAAAATTCACTGAAAGCATTAACAAATTACCATAAAACAAAACAAAATGGTGTATGTCCACTTACATCAAGACACACGGGACTGAGGGTTTCTGCAAATGGCTCTTAAGGAGACCTCAATAAAGTCTGAAACCTCCTCTGAAAGGAAAGCTGTTTAAGGGAAGAAATTAAACACAGAACTGAAACAAAGTGAACCCAATTGCAAAATGGGGAAGTGTTCATGGTGGAGCATCTCAGGCATCCAACCTTGGGTGCCCAGAGTTTGGTAAGACTGAGAAGCACCTGGAAGGAGGAAGACAGGATGGCAGGGTCTGGACAAGATGATGGAGGATGGCAGACAGCGCACACAGTGCAGGCTAAGGCACGTGGGAAGGAAGACTCCAACTGCTTCTCCAGGCCAGCAGAGTCTGACTTGGTTGCAAAAACCTCAGAAGGAAAAAAGCCACAAAACACCCTGAGCAGGACAGTTAGAGTCAGCTGAGTAACGTCATAAAAGCAAATAAAACGTGAAGGCATTTACACAAGGGATGGTTTACAGCAACAATAAACGTTATGCCATTAGCTATTCAATGGTCCATTCTCACCCATGGTTTGTCAACTCTGCCTCAAAAAAACCCCAAATAAAAGCAAGCAAAAGAAGCAGCTGAAATAGGAAAGATCAGAAACATGATGATGCAAATGATAACGAATAAATCACAAAGGCCTTCTCTATGAGGGGAGAGAGTGAGGAAATGACGGATGCGTGTGAAGGCAGCGGTGTCTCCAGATCAGCTGGGTATTTGTGTTCATCTTTTCTTGCAAGACAGAGGAGAACTCAAAATGCTGAAAGCCAGCTCCTTCAAAAAGGGTCCTGGAAATGGTATTTGACTTGATAAAAAACAGCTGGTGGAATTCCCTTTCCAGGGAGAACGAGGCAGAAGACTATCACAGAGACAGACCAAGCACCTGGGCATGGGAAAAAGCATCTGTGGTCACGTCAGGCGAAGTCAATCACTACAGACCAAACTTTTCTGCTCCCAGGTCTAAATTGCTCAAAAATTGATACAGATGGGATTGAGACTGTTAACAACTGCCTGTATTAAATGAGCTCTAAGTCTGTACCCTTCATTTGAAAACACCCAATAATAGCCACCAGTAACTGAATTAATAGCTTGTTCTGCCACAGCAATTCCTGTGTTTCAGAAAGACCTGCCATAAGGACTATCCACCTTGTTGTACTGCTGGACCAGAACTCATATGGTCTGGTGGGTGTAGCTGACACAAAAAAAAATAAAATGCAAGCCATTTCTTTGTTGTTGGTTTTGTTTTGTTTTTTTTCCCCAGGCTTCATGCTCTGCTATATACATAAAAGACAATCAACATTCAGGACATTTCCAATGGTTATGAAGGTACCGTACCTGTGATGGTGGTAGGGATGGTGGTGGTAGTGGTGGTGGTTGTTGTGGGAGGAGGGAGAGTTGTGGGGGGATCTGGATAAAATATAAAAAGGAAAATAATAAAAAAGCAAATTAAGAAAAAACAAGCAGAACACAACAGCGGTCAATTGTGATCAGAGGAAAACAAGGATGCTAAGAAGCAGCATGGCTGTGGGATCTCCTTCTTCCTCTAAAGCCAGGTGGTGACAGCCCAGCTGGCTTTAGGGACACAGGCCAGATCCTCTGCAGCTGGACACAGCCTTGAGAGTCACACACAGACTGAATCCAGCTGGAGAATCTGGCCCCCAAACTCTGCCCCTTTCTGCCTTCTACAATGCTAAAAAAAATAAAAATAAAAAAAACCCAGCATAAATTAGTCAATGAGAGAGAGAGAGAGAAATGGAATGGGAGAGGCATAAGAAAAATAAACTGCATGCTTTCCACAACAAAAATAACAGTTTACACATACAAAGAGAGACACAGTGGTGCTTTGCTACATATAGATTTGAAAATCCAGGCAGGAGGGTTGTATGAGGGGCCCTGCAGCCCTGACCAGGCTAAAGAAAAACAGCTGATGGAGGTATCGCACTGCCTTCCCCAGGCCCTTAACCTTGCTATTCCTCCCTACAGACACACGTCAGCAAGATGTTAAAAGCTGCTTCAAAGAGAGTCATAAATGCAAATAAATGAGAACATCATCGCTAAATATCAATTTCAAGGTATGAAGAATTTCAGTGAGAGCTTTCAATTAAAAAGAGTCAATATTTCCCTGACAGTTTCAGTTGAACGCTCTCATTTCTGCTGCTGGGGCATAGTTAATGACAGGGGGGTGCTTTTCTCTGCCACTGATCACCATTGCTCAGAGGTGCTTGACCTGGTGAGACCCAACCACTGCTGCTCTTCATGCTATTTCTGTTAGACAGGGGCACATCCTCGTCCAAATTACTGGGCAGGAGAAGACAGATATGAGGAGATGTAAAAAAAAAATACGTATCGATGCCCAGATGATCAAACTGAATGTGCTAAGTAGTCAGGAACACTTTGAACTACGGATTCATCCAGCAATAATAGAGCATGAAACATTTCATGGGCTTTTGATTTTGGATTTTCTCTATAGCATGTCAACTTCTCATCACTAACACATCTGCTACTCTTTTATCTCCAGGCTCTCTCAGATTCCCTAATTAATACACTTGAACTTTAATTATATGCTGCACCTTTATTATAGTCCATACAGCTTCTTAAAAATTAAGAAACATTACCTTGGTGTTTGCTTTGCTGGAGAGCGTGTATTTACAGCTCTGTTATTCTTGTCCTTCCCCTACAGCCAAAGCATCCCAGTCCCTACACATCCCCCAGGGAACCCCTGACTCGCTCATGAACTCATCCATCTCCCCAGGAGCAGCAGAGACCCAAAGAGCTGCTGTGCAGCAGGAGCAGGGGAAGAATATCTCCGGTCTGTTGCCAGGGCCCAGCCAAGGACTCTGGACCCAGCTCCTCACCAGACTGCACAGGGATGGTGCTACACAGCAGACTCTTCCTCCATAAAAGCAAACCAACCCTGATTGCGTGCTAATTGCGCTCTAAATTCCTAGCAACTGGGTCTGCCCACTCTCACAGGGAGGAAAAGCGTGAAGTGAATTTTAAAAATAAACATGTTTTCAGTATGTGTCAATGTGATTAGACATCCTTACTCCACGCTGGCAGCAGAGGAGCTGTGCTAAGCCCAGCTCAGCAGCAGTAATTTTGCAAGCCCTGGCTGCTGGAAACCATCTGCATGTAACACCAGAGTGTGGAGGGGCTGTGTCCACAACTCCCAGAGTTCCCAGGATAAGATGAGATAAGATGATCTGGGGGAGCTCTGCAGTGATGAGTGCCAGCCCTGTCTGTGAGGGAGCAGAGGGTGAGCAGTCAGGCACAGCCTCCCAGCATCTTTCAGCCTCTGCCTTTGGGGATGTGGCTGCATGGACCCCAACTCCAGCATCCAGAGAGCATTTGCTGGATGGATTGCCAGATCCTAGAGGGATGCTGCCAAATGTACACAAAATGGATGTGATGGGATGTAAAACCACAATCTGACCATGAGCTCCTGACAGACCCTGGAAAATCTTTCACTACATGGCCAAAACATCTGCTGGGTGCCCGGAGTCCACAGATTTAGGCACCTGCACCTCTCCTTTAAATAATGCTGTCTCAGTCTCCTCCCATGGATTTAATCCCAAGGAGGAGCAGAACTGATAAAGTCCTGTGTGGTCTCGTTCTCGCCCATGTCCAAAACACAGAATAATTACTAAGTGCTAGAGTGACTGTGAGGTAAATCCCAAGTCACTAATACTGGTGAGTGCTGATCTAGCACTAACTTGGGCCAAAACTATACAGGGAATGACACCACCTTATCGACAACTGCTTCACAGCAGCTGCTTTCCATAGTCAACCTCATGGGGAACTGCCTGCGTCCTACTGCAACTTTATCGCTTCTCCACAACAGTAGCTGTTTCTTTAACAAATGATGGAAACAAGGTTGTTTTTCACTCCATCATAAATATTTATCTGACTTAATTTTGTAAACTGGTTTCTTGGAACCACCAGCACTAGAAAACTACCTGTATAATGTGGGAGATTAGTTCAATTTCAGCTCAAAACTAGAATTTTGGTATTATCTTCATTCTTAGGCAAGTTTCTAAGACTGGGCTTAAAACAGCTCACGCACAAGCTGCATTTGGACAGGCAATGGCAGCCCTTGGTCTGGATCTGAGCAAGAACAGGAGCTTTGGGACTGCAGAGCTGCAAGGGGCTGTTGTGTGGAATGAACATCCAACCAAAGCTACTGTCCCATCTGAGTCACAGGCAATACCCACCATGAGTTTCACCCAGTCACACAATGACCATCTTTAATAGACCAAGTTTAAATATGCAGCCCAAGGAAATTGCCCATAATTAAACTAGGGGATCACTCCTCAAGTGCCTACTAAATCTTCATTGCAGGTCTTGTGACAGGAGCACAAGGTTTACAGCAATGGCAAAATAATGCAGAGGAACTGAGGAATTAAAGTAGATACTTAATAGCACTTTAAGAAGATGCTGAGACATGCTATAGTGTCTGCTCAGCAGCTGCAGACAGGCTTCAGACATCTCATTCCTCCAGTTTATTTACTGGTTTGTAATTATCTGGAGATGCTGACTGATTCTTTGTAACGTGGTAAAAAAAGACCGGCCCCCCCCCCCCCCCCGACCATTCCTGAAGACACTGCAGAAGGTATTACAGAAAGGAAGAAGAATTATCAGAGAAGCCCTCAGAGAACTGTCAGGCCAGAGAACTTTGCAGTTCTCCCCAGGCCCCTGCTCTGGCTTTTCCTTCTGCTTCACAGGTGCAGTGGGAAGCCCACAAGCACAGCCCTGAGGGAGCAGCTCCCCGGGCCCTGGGGCAGCACCCACGCCCGATGCTCCACACCGAGACTCACAGAAGCAAAAGAAAAGGTTTTCCAGCCCCTACCCCAGCCCGGCAGGATGCAGAGGTGTCAGGACCTATCTGGAAATCTTGCATTAAGCAAAACGTTAACTTCTGTCACAGCTTTCAGAGCGCGGCATGTTGCAATTAGGTGTAAATGAGTCTAGAAGAACGGTGGTTTTTCTCACGTACCGTATACAAACAGCATGTAATCCGCATGTGATTTCCCCACCGCGTTTGAAGCCTCACAGCGGTATGTACCATTATCTGTTTTGTTTAGGTTATTAATGAGAAGGTTTGAACCAGACACTACAACGTGTTGAGGCATCTCATCATCTACTCTTAACCACCTCATCTCCGTAGGCCTACAGAGGAGGGAGAAAAAGAAACAATCACATTACTATTTTCCTATGGTCAAGATGGCATCTTCAATAGTTCATCCACAGACAGAAAGCCCAAACCAAGAAAAACTGTAAAGAAATAACACATACTTTTTTGCACTACTCAAGCCCAGATGCTGTCAGGCTTCCTCAATTTAAATTTATATTAACCCACCAGGAAACTGTATCCAGACCTTAATTTTCTGAAAACACTAATGCAAGCAGGAAGAAAGTTTATTAGTGGTTAATCATTCACTTATTCAGCAAACCTGAAATCTTTGAGGCTATGTACTACATGTGCATCCACAGGGAGCTCTGAGTGCAGATCTGGACAGCATGTGGCAGAACGAGGACGTTGTCACGTTTGAACCCTTCCACAAGCAGTGCAATGGAGCCATGTACCTCCATGGAGGCCATGCTGCTCACCAAGAGTATTTCACCTGCTGGCAGGGAGCAGGGATGGCCCTGTCCTCTCCCCAGGCCCCCCAGCCAACTGGCAGCCTCCCTCCTGCAGCCCTTTGCTGAGATGTCTCACCCCGGATGTCCTCAAAGTGACCCCTTCAGTACCTTCCCACTTTCAATATGGTCCTGGGGTTTTTCTGTCTAATCTAACCAAATGGCTGTATCCACACCAGAACAGAAATTTCTCTTTCTGGTCTTTGCCTTCCTCTGAGCTGCCCTCCCCCAATGTTTATGTTGCCAAATTTTGCAGATATATGATTTTAACTGAATAAAACATCCCTGATCATCTTAAACCTCTGTAAAGGGTTTTATGGAATCTGTTTGTCTTAAAAACATAGAGCTAACCACAGCCTGTGATTTTACTGTGTATTTTCCTACGCTTGGAGAGGCAGAGGTGAAGTGACCTACACGAGTGAGCTCCTAGCACATTAACATCACGGTAACGCTAAGCGGCACGCTGCCGGGGAGACGTGTCTGCCTTATTTAACACGTGTGTCTTACTCAGAGCCTGGAGGGAAAAAAAGTGAAGAAGCCTATTCATGAAATAAATTCCCAGATGACAGCAAAGGGCAGGACAGCAGGTACCCAGGAAAGGAGGACTGTGAAGGGGCTCTGACAGCCTCTGAGCCGGGCATTGGCATTGAAATGGGACCCAGCAGGGGACGTGCTAGCCTCTAACAGCCCAGGAAGGAACCAGCCTGGTGCCCAACAGAAGCAGGATGCTACAAAATACTGTGGGAAAGGAGGGAGGCTGGTGGGGAGGCTGCTCCTACCCTGCCTGCCACAGCCAGGCTGGCAAACCAGGCAGATCCCAGCTCGGCTGCACCTGTGGGAGCTCCTCAGCTCCGGGCACGCGACTGAGGAGATGCTGGCAGGTGTCAGGGGTGTTGGCAGGAATCTCACGAACATGACAAAAATTTAAAAAAGGGTAGTAAATACTTGACAGCCGTAAATCCAAGTTGAAGAGGAAGTATTTAAAAAAAAAAAAAGTCAACAAAACTTAAATTAGAACAACAATGAAAGTGTGGAAGAAAACCTACCCTCCCTTGCCAGGATTTTCCTGATGCATAAAATTTCTTCAACTATATAGGAAAACCTCAAGGGCATGGCAAGAAGAGGAGAGCATAAAACCTCCATTGCATGAAAACCGTGCAGGGCACCAAAAAGGGAGGCAAATTGTCACACAGTCAACACAAACAGAAAGCCAGACTGCCTTACCTTGGGGATCCATTCCACCTCTGCTGGCCGCGGTGCCAGGCTCACTACTGTGTACTGGCCCCTCAAGAGGACTCCGTACACAGGACCCCACTTTGCTTTTCCAGATTAACTGCACCCGATGCCCCACCCCCAAGCCACAGTCAGGGGTTCTGTCCCTTCGGCACCCGAGGGTTTGCTGCAGGGCAGCCATGAAGAGCTCTCCTAGGAGATCTACATGGAATCCCTCAGGTATTAACTACAGGGGAGTGACAGCAAATCTGAATGGGGCAGCAGAGGCTCAGGTGCAGGAAGTGTCACTCCCCTCCTTGCTGTGACGTGGCCTTGGCAGCAGGGAATGGCCCATCCAATGTCTGCACCAGCAGCAACAGCCAAACAGGGGCCACGGGCTCCTCGGCAGGACCCCGTCCCTGCTGCACACCCCGCTCCATCCCTGGGAAGGTCCAACTTACTGTGGTTTTCCAAAGGCTGCGCAGGTCAGCTCCAGTGGCTCCCCTTCCCTCGTCAGGCCTTGCACCGGGTAATTCTGAGACACCCGCACTTGAGGCTTATCTGTGGGACACAAGCAGAGGGCTGAGCCGCGGGCAGCGGCGGTGCCACCGCGCAGGGAACACGCGGAGCAGCCGCGCTCCCACCACCCCCGGTGCCAGAGCTGAACCTGCTCAAGCTAAAAGGAACTCATTTGCCTTCACGCTGAGGTGAAACTAGAGGTATTGGTGGGGCTCAGAGCTGATAGGATTTACAGTGCATCATATATTACTGTGTGACAACACCCAGCATCTGTGCATATTAATATGTGGGGCTTTAAAAGAGATGCTTGATAGAAACACCACAAAGGAGTCACAGCCACTGCTGCTTTTGTTTAAACAACAGGAGGTTTTATTTCGTCCGAACGAAGCTCTTCTAAACCCTAAAATAAACACAAAGAATTAAAGCATTTCTAGTTAGGGAGCCAGCTCAAAATCACTTTAGTTAGAGCCTGCAGGAAAAAAAAAGCGTCAAACCACAAACCTAGAGTCTACAATTAAAAAATTCATTACCTCCTACAACTGAAACACAGATTAAAAATGCAATCTAAGCTGTAGCTAAAATGTTATCAGTGCAAGAAATCAATTCAATGCTGCAAATGCCATTAAGCCATATATATTTTTCAGGAATCTACTCAACTGTAAGGAACAAAGGAAGGCAAAGAATCAGTATGCATAAAGGTTGAAACCATTTAAATGCTTCTATTGCCTTTGAGAGTAACTGCTACCAAAAATATTGGCTTGCTGCATTTTATTAACTGTGTTTAACGCATTAACATGCTTCCTATGGAATAATAGAGATTAGAAAGAAAAAAATCTGTGTCAGGATTTAACCAATTTAAACTCTCATAATTTTCAGTAATGGAATAAGCTGCACGAGTAAATCCTCTCCTGAGATGACTACACCACAAACATTTTATAAACTAATCCCTGTTACAGATGCTCCTCGCAGCCCTGAAATGTGGGCGTCTCCACAGGCTGGGAATGTGGCAGGGGCAGGGGGATGCCTTGGGGGGCCATGATGCTTTGGGGGTGTCCCCCTAGAAACATGGGCAACTTTGGAGTGCTTGAAAAGGTGTGTAACACTTTGGACATGCAAAATAAAGATATGAAAATGACTGGTACATGCCAGGCTGGAGTAAAAAAGGTTCTTTGTAGGATGGTGAAGGAGCCCCTGAGCCCAGCCCTGGAGCAGGGACCTGTCCCCGCTGTACCTGAGCTCTCCCATGGCAGTGAGGAGCAGGTACAGCCAAGATGTCCAGGTCTCGGTGGTACAAGTCAGCCCTGGGGGCGAAGATGGCACAAACACACACAATAAAAGCATGGGAAGGCAAAAAGCAGGACTGAAATATGGTTCTGAGCTCAGGTCTGTGCCGGGAGCGCTCACACAACGCGTAAACCAAGTATTATGCTGCGAGTAAATCAGCAGCAGCGTCTCCAGTGCTGTGCTCAGCCTCACCACTCTCATTCACAACTCCCACCCCCCCGGCCATCTGCTTGCTGTTTATTACTTGTGTTGCGGCGGTGCCCGGGAGCCCATGCCAGAAACATGGCTGCTATTATACCCTCTGCTGCAGGGAGAGCAGAAAACCTCTTCAGCCCCATTTACATGGGAACACAAAGGCAACAGCTCCTGGTGCTGAGAAAGCACCGCGCAGCATCTTCTGCAGCTTGCCTCTCCTCTTCCTCCCATCCTGTTTTCATTAGATAAATTTTAGTATTTCTAATGAGCTGTTTACCAGCTGACAATTACTTATGGAAATCAAGAGGGAAAACCGAGGGCTTGCTGTACTGCCAGTGAGCTGCAAACCCTGCAAATACTGGAGGAGAGCCCCCTCCATGCAGCTCTCCAGCCCCATAGCCCCCAGGAAACAAATGACAGCAGCAAAGTGAACCCAGACTACTTCAGTCTGGACGTTGCAGAGATGTCACCTGCAGCAGAAACCTGGGTTTTGTTGGCAAACGTGCATGCACTGGTGAAGACAATACCCAACAGAGCTATCAGAGTGAGTGTCTCTCCTGAGCAGGACACACCAGCACACCCTAGACCACTGAGGGCACTTTGGAAAAATGCCTCCCAAGCCTGAAAGGATTCAGGAGGATGGCAGGGCTCTCATGGTACACAACAATGTCACTTGCTTTGACCAAGAACTGGGTCTTTTTTTCCTTTCCTTTTTCCTTAAGGACATGCATTTAAATAATCTGTAGTTGTACCACTAAGCATCGCAGCTCAAAGGCAGGATCTAATGCCCTCAGATTATGGACTCCACTAGCAAATGCATTGGGATCCTGAGTTCAGCTCCTGCATGGGATCATGGTGTTCAGCAGCCCACAGTGACTATTTTGGACGATACAGAATATAAGGCAACCAGCACCAGAGATTTTTTTTCACCAAGTGCATTCCAGCAGCTCGACATACTCAACTTGAACTTCATAATATCACATGGCTGGATTACTACGTAAAAATAAACCCCTGCATCTATGCATCTAAGCTGCTGCATACTCCACTGGCAGCCAATTAGACCTAACAACCCAAAGCTATTTCCTAGTACGCCTGTTTCTAGCGGCTTAAAAAAACAGCCTGGTAATTTAATAAGGCACCTTTATTAAGCTAAATTCATTCAAAAGCTAAGAGTGATATACAAGGTTAAATACCAGTAGTCTAAAGGTTATGCTGTAGCAGCAACCAATTTGAAAAACTTATTACAAACTCATTCTGCCTTTGATGAGATTTCTTTTACAACAGGCACACATGGTGCTGCCAGCGTGTGGAACCACAGCCCTCCCGCCAGGGATGGGGGCCCCACTCCCAAAAACCCCCTGTTCCCTTGACCAACCTGAGTTTGGATTTCTCAAGCAACAGGGATGCTGGAGACTCCTCCAGCTGGCTCCGATGGAGCCCAGACAGGAGAGCACCTCGCCCACCTCTCCCAGTCTCCCAACTCCATGGGGCTGAAGTTTGTCCTGCACTTGTCCCAGTTCTTCCTCTTACCAGTGGCTCACCCGGTTTTTGTGCCATTAGCAAAGATTATTTAACGACCACTTTTACAGAACCTTCAGCTGCTCTGTGGGAGCACTAAGCAGCACCAGGCCACATGTCCAGGCCAGTGCAGTCACTCTAAAAATACCATCGCTTGCTGATTGCTCCCTAATGACTGTCCTTTGAGATCTGCCAGTTAGCGATTTCTTAATCCATTTAAATGTGCGCTCCACCGATAACGCCGAGATCTCATTAATCAGCAGAGATACCACGTCATACCCAGGTCGGTGCCTCGTAGAGCCTAAGCCTATTATTTCTACCCATTTCCTTTCATCAGGTCAACCTATGGTCTGAAAAGCAGGCAAGCTCACCGCCCCCAAGCCCATCAGCAGATGGATTTGCCAAGCCTGACCTGCCCGGGTAACACGATGCTCTGCCAGGTCAGGCTGGGGACCTTCCACTGCACACCCCACCCCACTACTCCTCACCACCAAACCCATGCTGAGGGCAACCCTCCAGCCTCCTCCTGAGTGCATCTTATGTGCAAGAGATTAAACTCTGTGGTTGGATAGAGTAATTCCACTGAGCACCAGAGCTACCAGAAGCTGCTACAGAGAAGCTGCCCTGCTCTTGACGTAGGTTTCCTTGGGGCCATGCCAACTGTACCCGAGTTGCATCATCACACCCCAGCAGCTCTTGGTCCTCCAGCAATCTCTGTGCAAGCAAAACGGCTCCTACAATGCAGCAATCTGCCCACTCTAAACACAAAGCCTGCACCGAAACAGTCATTAGTAACAGAGCAAAAACATTTTGGGAAATACTACTGCTTTCCCAAAGCCCAGGTGACTCCTAACCATCACCAGCCATCACCAGCAACAAACCAGTCAACACTTCCCAGCTGCTGTGCTGCCAGCTGAGGTTCGAAGACAGCTGAAAGCCTTCCCACATGCTGCTTCAGGAGGAAAACACACAAAAACGCAGACTGGGGCTCACAGAGCAGGAACAGGCACCATCCCACAACAATGAAATTCTCCCCAGGCGTTTAACTGCTGACACCTGCTGAAAGGAGCAGACACACAGCAAGAAGGGCTACCCAGGACCTTGGTGCATTTTCAGCATAGGGTTTCTCTGTCTCTGCTCCAAATTACAGCTAAACATGTACATTAAGCAAATTGGACATTACTGGAGGTGACTGGTTTCCCCTGCAGCAGGTCTGGGACAGGGGCACTGAGCACCCCATTTGCAATGCTGGACTGTTTGCCAAGGCAGAAGTGGCAAAATGGACTCCTTCGATGATTCAGCTGAAAAAGCTCTTGCCTACACTGTGAAATGAGGCACTGAATCTAAGTTTTCACATCCATTTTATGATTACTGCATTAATTCCTGATGCACCCCTCTTGGCAGCAACGCTGACAGATGGCATCCGCAGGAGAAGGACCTGCAGGTCAGGCAGAGTTCCTGCCCACTTTAGGTAATTCCAGCTTCAAAATCACCCAGATCATACTTGGCATATCGTTCCTCAGATGGGTACTATTTCATCCAGATCCTCCTCTCTGCTGTGTCCTGCAGCCCAAACTAACCACCCAAAAACCTGACTTCTGGCAGCTTCTGTATCCCAGCATGTGAGGGGACATGGAGGAGGAGAATGCTCCTCTGTAGTAAAAGAAGTCCCCAAAGGTAAAATTTATACACAGGCATGAAGACAAATGTCACCTTCACCCAAAAATCCAGTGGGTTTGCCTATCAGGAAATGAAGGCAGCATCAGGCCCAGCAATCCCAGATCTTCTCCTCCCCTTCTGCAAGGACAAGGGGCTGCCTTGCTGATTTTCAGCCAAACCAGAGAAAGCGATTACAGAAATACATCCTGTGTTTAAAATAACGATTAAACACATGACTGGCGGTTCATGACTTGTCTGGAAGAGCCTTTTGACCCCAAAAATGACTTTGCAAAATTTGCCCATGAATGAAAGGATTTAAACCTGGAGCAGGGTGAGGGGAACCACAGCCTGGCAGGTGTGGTGGGCACCAACTCTGCCCTTATCAA